GAATATCTAGAGAATGAAAAGTGATATAAAAAAAACTGTAAATTGCATTCTCCTACATTTGTGGAGCTTTTTCTTGGGGGGGGGGGGTCATTGTGTTGTTTGGCTTGACTTCCCCTTTAAGTAAAAACCCCCAGTTGAAGGTGGTTATACCATGAGATTCACACCATAATTCCACAAGTGGTAGACCAGTGTATACAACGTAGGGTTATTGCAATTATATATATATATATATATGTGTTTTATACATTTATTTCAGTTTTACTATTTCATAGTTTTCAGAAATAAAAAGAATACAAAAATGTCCCAAATCATGAATTTCCCCTTTATCAAAAAGTTTGTTTTCCACTCATAAAACAAGACTTGACACCAATTTTCAAATTGTGGGACCTAACTTAGAATAATAACCTTTGACAGTATGTATGTTCTTTTGGTTTGCATAAATTAACCCATTTCTGGTCCTATCAACGCATTCATACTACCATATTTGATTTACAGATATCGATCAATCTTTTTCCGCAGATGTATATTGCATACCACATTTCACAGTTGAACACAAGTTATGGTTTGAAAAGAATGTTTTAGTTGTATGTTTATAATATTTTAGAATTGCATTCTAAATTCCATTAGACTTCTTGTGATTAGATGTATTGCGTCACCACAGGACACACCATCTCAGCACAAGCCTGTGTAATAAGACACCTTGTTAGCCAATTGTGGCTAAAATAGTGCTCCTTTTAAACTGTCTAGTGTTTATACACAAAACTTAATACTTCCGTTTACAATTTAATTTACTCTTTAAATACATATTTGAGTGAAATATTTCAATCTTTGGAACAGCAGAAACTAACACATAATAACGATAGTAAAATTTGCGTTTGAAGTTTGAAATTTCCAATGTATTTGCAGGTTTTAATTAGCTTGAAATAGAACTTCCTTGAATAAAATCATGTGTAGATTTATACAATTTTAGAGCCAGTTTATTTATGCAACAAGTTTAATTTATCATTATTAAGTAAAGAAATTACTGAATTTATTATATCCGTAAAATCCGAAACTCCTGGTGCGATATGCATCAGATAGGTGTAGAGCTGACGCTGACTTGCAGTGTCAGTGGATTAGAGAAGAAAGATCCAATCAATCAGTTACATTTTATTTGAACTGAAATGGTTTTCCTCACTTTCAGGTCATGTAGACCCAGGAGAATCTGATAAAGTCACAGCACTACGAGAAACCGAAGAAGAAGCTGGGTTGACAGCGGCGCATTTTAAAATGATCGAAGACTTCAAAAAAGTTCTAAAATACAACGTAAAAGGGAGATTAAAAACTGTGGTTTATTGGTTGGCTGAGCTGGTGGATAGAAACGTTGCTGTAAAACTAAGCAAGGAACATCAGCGTTATGAATGGTTGGAGATAGATAAGGCTTGTGATATTGCGAAATATGTAGAAATGCAAGAAGCTCTCAGAGATGCTGATAATTTTATTAAATGTAATCTTTAACACTCCCAAATTCAGTTTACTGCATTTAATGGTCATTTTGTCATGGTAACAACCCAAAGATGAACCTGTGGGTTTCTTATCACCAGGTATAATTGATTCTTTTCAACAGAAATGTTAATCAACATACTTGGGGTAGTATAAATGTGAATTATGTATGTGGAAGTAGTGAGAAACCCTGAAAAAGGTGAGAATCTGGCAAAACATATTATGTACATGATCTTAGAACATTCTGTGTATGTTGTGTAGTTCTATGCTATCACTGCAATTGACAAATATCCAGTAATAGGTACTTATTATTATACACCTGTCACTGTAATGCCACAAGTTACAGCTTGCCGTAATTTTGCAGTTTTGCACTAGGTATTTAAATATTTCATATTATGAAATGCAAATTTCAAATATTGAAAGATTACACGCTCTCCCATAATAAAAACAAACATGGCAGTCTCCAGGGTTTGACCGAACCCATGATTTGGATTTCGGCATCCCTATGATGTATCTTGTATGATGTATATAATAAGGTTATTACAAGGATACCACAGACAGTATGCAGTTACAAGTGGGTTGATACTACTGCTGTACTGTCTCTGTGCATGCCAGATCAAAGAATGTTGCACAGGAGTACATGTCAAGACAAATAACGTTCCTATTTTGAATCTGGTCAGTGCTTGTAGTCATAAAATGGATAGCTATTTATAAGTATTAACAATAAAACTTGCCTCTACTTCACCTGTTTTCATCAAATATTGAAAAGTGGAGCAAATAAGCCTTGTGCATATTTGACACACAATGTACCAATTCAGAAAATGTTATTTTCAAAATATTCACCCTGGTAGAAATAGAAAAATTCTGAAGCTTAACCGTTTTTATTTTCAAGTTTTACTTTGAATAGTTAGACTTGATATCATTCTCTCAGATATCGTTGAGATATGGCGAGAATCCATATTTACACTTCATTGGTGAGATTTGCAATTTGTTTGTTCAACAAATTCTCACCGACTAATTTGTGAGTTTAGATTAACACCAGTGAACTTTGAGAATATAAAAATTATCACCAATATTGCCAAGAACGATATACATTATTACCAATAATAAATCTGGAAACTAGTACTGTACATATTCCTCAGCAAGCTTGTGTGTGAACAGTAAAAAAAGTGTACTGTTTTATTTATGTACACACTTTCTCATGGTGTTCATTTTCCAGGTTGTATGTATAGTAGTATCCAATTGAAATGTGATGTAGGAAAGAGACTCTGATTGCTTCTAATCTACAGTCACTGGTTAAGGTCGATGACGTATGCAATCCAAGCCCTCTACATTGCGAACTGTGACTCCCCTAATGCAAATGAATAAACACCATGGCGCCAAATTGCGAACATGAAAAAGTAGAAAAAGACGTATCAAGTAATTCAGAAAGACTTTTCATGTTTCCGCACTGTAAGAAATTCATTACACAAATAGTTTCAATGGTGAACACAATTCATTTGCAAGACATTTTAATTGGGATTCAACATAAATGGGGTTGTGTAAGCTGAAATATTTGGCTATCAATATGTGCCTTTACATATTGTAAACATCTTTATTTGGTTATTATGCTTATTTCACTGATAAAATATCATAAATTATAATTATGCAAATAAGTAATTGTTTACAAAAGCAAAAATTTAAATTAAAAACTTTACAAATTTTCTACAACCAAACCCAGCAGATGTTTTCTTTCGTACAGTATCAAGACGCCTTGTATTCATAGATACAGTCAGGTTCCTTCCAAACATTCAGTTTGGTTGATATACAGTCTAGGAACATCGCCAACTGTGAATGCTATGTTAGGGCATGATGTCTGCAACCTTAACTCTCCCTCTCTCCCCTGTACACCACATCTAAATCAATCTTCACACTTAGCATTCTAAACTACTCATAATATTAAAATCACAGTCCAATAGACGATTTCTCATACACTGAGATCTTGTGTACTAAAACAAAATTGAAGGACTTGATTTTGAACTTCACTGTTTTATAGTTCAATGCCGAAATGTCTATCTTTCAGATTGGCCATCATCAAATGTTTAATAGCACATTATTAAGTGTAAAAATACCCCCCAAAAAATACATTTGTGTTTGTTGAATCTAACACCATGTTTTAACACCACTATGACCTTTGTTTGTCCTGTTTTTATATTCAATTTCATGCATGATGCAGGATTTTGTGGTGAGCGGAAATGGTGAAGAAAATTAAAAAACTTGATATATATACCGACTGACAGTGGATAAACAGACAGTATAGATGAACAGCATCTCTTGCCTCTGTGCTACAATTGTCATCCCATTGACTAGTCAAGTTTGTTACATTTTTACTGAGAACGTATTTAGTTTTCATATAGTAATACCGGTAGTTCTGCAGTCAGTATACTGCCAACCAACACAGCATAATATTTTATGACCACAAGTCTTTCTCTTGGATGAGTCAACCAAACAAACCAGTGATAAATATGAGCATAGTGACACCTATAGTCCTATCCTGGTAACAGAAAGTATCAAACATCATCTATACATAGTGACTTGTGATCTGTTGTAAGCCCTGTGCTTCCATGCACGATAGCAGTGCATGACACTTCACTCTGATGGAGTCTCTTCAAGAATTGATACAACTTTCTGGAAGACAAAGGGTAATTTACAAAATATGCGAATAATATTCTCTTTTTTAGGTACAAGCACTTCATAGGAACTAAAGTTGAAGTTCAATTCTACTAGTTTCGTTGACTATAAATAATATACCGGTAATAAATCCATTCTTTATGATTCAAAGTGAACATCACAGGGATAAAACTGACACATTATCATGTTTCCCCACTTTTTGTTTTGATTTCTAAATAGCAATAGCAAAGTTTCAATTTGAACAAATAACTGCATCCTGTATTTGACAATGTATATATACAAATATATACACACAATCTTTACTTATAACAATACAGATTAACACACACAAAAAAGGATTTTTTTTTTACCTCCAGAGTTTGATAATCGCATTTTTTTGCCATATTTTTGAAATGACCCAGATTTGTAGCAACCATTGCAGAGAATCTAAAAAAAAAAAAAAATATTTACGTTATTAGTGATCTAAATATGGTCATCATATACATTACAACAAGTACATTTTTTTTTACACCGAGGAATTTTTTATAATTTGATGATTTTAATAATGTGAAGACAAAATTCTATAAAACACACTGTGACTCTGTATCTCTAGGATAACAGAAAGATGTTCTAAAATTTTGAGATTTCACTGGCTCTCACAAATTTGTCTTGCTGAATGAAAGTGGTTTACAGTATATACAGCATGGTGTAATGTGATGTGAAGTTTTATTTAATGCGTATGTTGTTCACACTGATCAAATCAAGCAAGGGAATATTCAATTTCTGTATTTATCCATTAACTGGCAATAAGCAACACATCATATGTCTGTTACTGCACTGAGCTGTCAGTCTCAATCACAATATCTTTGGGATTTATCCTTTTCACCACCAGTTCTCTCTTTCCAAAACAAATTCACTGTCTTGTTATTAGTCTGCACTTCAGAAGATTGGAACAAATATTGACAAATTTTTTTTGGAAAAACTGAAAAATGACTAAATTACTGTACAAGATATTTTCTGATGATGACCCTTTTTCATGATGCAAGAAACAGAGTGAAAACATTGGTACTATCATATTTAAAGTATTTGGATTGTATCAGTGAAGGACTTGTGTTAATGTACAAGACTTCTAATTGCGGTATTGGTTAAATTTATCTTGAAACCTAATCTAATTTTATTCATATTTATCACTAATTTGTTTGTGGGCATGCTGCATATGTCAATGCATACTGATTTCTCTTGATGAATTTCACAGCATAGTAAGGTTGGGGTGCCTTTTTAGTGGGACCTCTCAGATGTACAGTGCACCAAAAATGCGACTTATCAGAACCCCATTTAAAGCACAGTAAGGCCTAATGAGGAAAAAAATGGTTACTACATGTACATGTTAATGTTTATAGTGAGGTTTCCATAGTGAGAGTCAATCAGTTTTTTTAGAAAGGTAAGTCTGACAATGGGAAGTCAGTTTTGTCAAAACATTATGGATTTGCACCTAAGTACAATCTAATCTGAACATTTTTAGTCCCTGTTTGAATGGAATCTGAAAACGGGTACAATAATTCAGGGTCTGTCCATTCATCTGTGCATCCATTTGGGATAAATTGAACAATTTCTTTCAAATCTGGCACAAAGACATTCCATACATATGCAGCAGATAATTTTTGCCCAATAAATCAATGACTGACTGACTTAAATCCTATTACTTGAGCATGTCTACAGTAAATTTTCAGAAATGACTGGGCTGATTTCAATCAGCCTTGGTATGATGCAGTCTTCATTGGGTTGCAGGTGCTTGTTATTTTTTAAGATTCAATTCAAGATTATGCACTACATGCATGTCCCCTTCTATTTCCCGGCATGCAATGACTAATTTGATTTTGTGATCTGATTTTATTGACTATGACAAACAGCAATTTTAGAGTCAAATATAGCCAGCAGGTGGACATTTTTGGGGAAAAATAAACCTAAATCATATTAATAGTACCGGTACTCAACATCATATTAGTAGCATGCAACATGTCAGTATTTCAATCAAGAAATGACAGTACTGGTACATACTGGGTTACAGGTACAAAGTATTTATTTTGTGATCAGATTTAATACAGCCAACTGGTGTCTATTTTTTGTCTTCACCATGTCAGTATTTCATATATTATAATTTTCAAGCCCATTTGTAATGGCTGTTAATGATTTTGATACTGGGTGAACAATTTTAAACTTTACTTCTGTGATATCATAATGGTTTATTGATGGGATTACAATTAGAATGACTTGTTTGATTATATAGCAAATCAGAGATCACAAATTATGAGAGTGATTCAAATATGTACTTATTAAGGCTATTTTTGAAATTTCAGTTTTGAAATGCGTGCACTTGGAATCAATTCCTTTTGATTGGCATAGTATAAATTGTGTTTGTGATAGAATAGACTCAGGGTTGATTTAGTTCAAGGGAAAGGATCAGAGCAATATGAACTCAAAAATAATTGGCTTCATGGCGACCTCTGATCAACATATCAGGAAGAGTGATGTAAAAAGCATACAATATTAGAGTACCACAAAAATGCACCAAAACAGTACTGACTGATGCATAGCAGAGATTGATTCAATCATGTACTGTCTAAGTGCATACTTTGCTGCATCATAATAATAACATTAAACATCTTTCTGCTCCAACTGCTTGATGTTCAACGCCAAGAACAGAGAAATGAATTTTCCTTTCTTTTACTATGAACTTGGTTTTCAAAAATGTCTGCCAGCATGTCATAGTTCAATTAGAATTCACATTTCCAAATAAGTTAGTATGCCCTGTGCAATACCGCAAAATTTCAGATAAACACAAGTCATTGAAAATGACACAGTCCCCATTAATTTTTTTTAAAGTTCTTTTTGTGCTCGTCATATTAAAATGGAGGGGTCGTCGCGAGTGTGTCCTTGAAACTTGAGTTCCAAGTGGTGTATACAACAGATTGTTTATTTACATCAAAACACGTGTTTTGTGTAGTAGTAATATGGCCAAAAATAAAAACAGCCGTTATTTGGCCATCTTTGATCTGATTATTAAACACACTGATATGTATGATGTATGTGCCAAATACGAATGAAAATGGTGCATAAATTGTGGAAATATAGTAGTAAGGCCAAAAAGTCAGATGGCTGTCAATCGGCGATCCTTGACCAGATTTTGAAACAAATTCTCCCAGACATGCATCCTAACATGTATAAAGTACATGTATGTGCCAAATTTGAATGAAAACTGACAGAGCACGTCCAAGATACCGCATATAAATAAAACAAGATGCCTGCCAGTTGACAATCTTTGATCCAATTGCGAAATAAATCGTCATGGACATGTATCCTAACATGTATAATCTATGTACCAAGTTTGAATGACAAAGCATGTCCAAAGTACAACATTTGCAAAAAACAAGATGGCTGCCAGTCGGCCATTTTGAATCGAATCGCCAAACCACTGCATGTACATATGTCCCACATAAGGTACTAGGCACATGCAAAGAATGAAGGTAATCTGCCCACAGGATTCTGAAATATGACTCTGGAAAGACTGACACACGGACGGACAGACTCAGGGACGGTCGGGGACATGTATCCTAACATGTATAATCTATGTATTAAATTTGAATGAAAAATGACAAAGCATGCACAAAATACGACATTTTCAAAAAACAAGATGGCTGCCAGTCGGCCATCTTTGATCCAATTGTGAAATAAATCGTCATGGACATGTATCCTAACATGTATACTCTATGTACCAAGTTTGAATGAAAACTGACAAAGCATGTCCAAAATACAACATTTTCAAGAAACAAGATGGCTGCCAGTCGGCCATTTTGAATCAAATCGCTAAACCACTGCATGTGCATATGTCCCACATAAGGTACTAGGCACATGCAAAGACTGAACGGAATCGGGCCAAGGGATTCTGAGATATGACTCCGAACGGACGCACGGACGGACAAACAGACGGAGACCGAATTATAAGTCCTCATTTTTGGACTTCGTCTGAACGGGGACTAATAATAATACTTGAAAATAATTGGTCAGGTGAAACTAGTAAAATTTACCCGTCTATTTCTTGTTTCAATTTGTTTGTTTCCTCAGTACACTCATCATATTCCTGTGAATAAAACAAAGTTAAATTTAGTATTTATTCCCTATTATAAAACAAATGATGTATGTCATCACAGAAGACACTAGTGGGTAGTGTAAATACCACTAACTAAATATTTGTATTTGTATGACTGACATTAGGATGAAAAACAATATGCCTTATGTGAGGACACACACACACATGTTGCGCAGCTTCCTCTCCAATGATATACCAGGGAAGAATATTAAAGAAAAAAAAAAATGGGACAACCAATTTGAAAAACTGACTGCTGACACAACAATAATTTAAAAGTTATCTAAATTTTTAAACTCTTGGGATGCGTCAAAACTGTTGTCAGCTTACACAGATTAAACATGAACAGCTTTTTTGCAATGTCAGCCAAGTACATGTACCAAGGTAATTAATTAATGTTGCTTTTCAAACAAAAATGTTAGAAATTGTGACAGTTTTATAGTGAAAATACACTTGTACTGTGATACACTATGTAAAATTGTAATTGCTGTATGTATTTATTTTCATGGTTGTTTCAAATAGGCAATCAGTTATCATATTTGGTTGCGCCATGACAACAGTAGTTTTCTGGGACTCAATTGATAGTGATCGATGACTGACATTTTCATTGACACCACTTATTCCTACTTCAACCATTGAGCGTCAAAGTCAACTTCAGCATCCACAAAATAGCTCCCATTATAGGGAAGAAATGCATTAACTCCATGTTGGATTTTGCAAAGGATTGTGGGATAGAATATTGAACTATAGAGGGCGTTTGGGGAGGGGCTTGCATCTTTTCCATATACATGTAGCTCTGTGCTAACAACAACTGTAAACCACTCCTGTTTTCAAACAATGCTTTAGTTTTTTTTTTCAAATTGGATGGTTATATTGTTAAACTTTCCATTAGTTTCACTGGGAAGATTTTTTTTCAGATTTTTGGCTACAAGCTGTCTAACTGTAGAAACCATAGAGACAGGTATGTGTATTTCTACTCATTCATTTATTATAATTTATGTTTTATTATTTTCCATAATAGTGGAAAAAACTTATATCTATCTTGTCTACTAAAAAGTTTTGATTAATTTTAAATCAGTTCAGAAAATGTTGATGAAAAATTTCAAATTTTGTATCAAAAGCTAAAAGCAATGTCACATTTAAAAAATTACAGAAAATGTGAGCAAACTTTTTTGCCATTTATTTGTATGTAGTTAAGAATGTGTATTCATAAACAAAACCTAGTTAAATTCTGTGAACCCACTCCTTGCTTGCTGGAGATGTGCTTCGAACATAGCAAATACAGTATGAATTCTGATAGATAATACTAGTATATACCGGTACTATACACTTTGAAGTAAAACTAGGAGCACTATGTCATCTGTTATATGCAAGTAAAAACACACATGAACAGTTTGGTAGGATGTTTATAAGCATGCCTTAACCTTTCTAATGCCAGATATTTTTCCGCCCAAAATTTGATGCAAGTCTTTTCACATACACATGTACATGTACTGTTAAATTGTCACTAAATTTCATCATCATTTTGGACCATACAGACAGTTTCAGATATTCCTTTTAGTTTTTGATCAAAAGGTTTGTCAATTTTTATCAAAATTTAATGTGGGGAGGAGCAGACTTTACAAAAAATATTTTGTAGATGGTGCCAAAAGTTGACAATGACGCTCAGAGGGTTAATGCTAACAGCGATTGGTTTCTACTCCTAACAGGCAACGTTGTCAAGCTAATTTACTGAGAATACAGCGATATGTTTGCAAGCAGTGATGCTTTTACAAAGTCTGTAGATGGTTATCACATTCAAATTTGACTTGCACCATTTTCAAGAGGGGAAACAGGTCAGTTACAAAAGGGGGATTGTGAATTTGATAGAATGAATAGTTTTGAACAGTGATTTTCTGATATATTACCGTAGATTTGGTGTTGCTTCTTATTAATTTGTTGAATAACCTAAACGAAGCTTGTTAAACAAAACAGATAGCCAAACAAACAAAGTGTGTGAGCCTATGACTAGTACGTAAAATATACTTGGAGATTACCCAGCTGATAGCAATCTCCAGACTCCCTCCCTAATCACCTCGCTTGTACTAGTCAGCAAATTACCTGTCAAGGTAGTCTTGGTTGGGAGTACAAACTAAACACATAAATTAAAGGACAAAAAAGCTTAAACGGGAAAAAAATGAAGTAGAATTTTGTCTTTTTTAATTTGTTTACATTTTTCGAATAAATCCACAAGATGATGTATTTTTCCTAATACATGTATTTGTAATTTATCATGCATGAATCTGTCTCTTTTGTACATGTGCTCAGAATTACTAGCACACAAACAATGAACATATTATGCAACTTTACAGGTTTATTGAAATCCCAAGATGAGGTTTGGTAGCTCATCTGACCGCACAAGAAGACAAGAAGCAAAATTGTATCTGTTTGCCAAAGTTAACAGATTTAACAGGCCTTGTCTTTTGAAAATGGCTTTGGAGCCTACAGAACTGTCTCTACAGAACACATTGTTGTAGGAGATTATAGAATCTAAGCTAGCTTTCCAATCTCTTTAAAATTGTATGGATTAGAAATAATAATTAGCTGCTCTGGGTCTTGATTTCCGAAAATGGAATAACCATTCAACTTAGATCTGGTTTAGTTACATACTATAACCCAAAGAGTTTTTAAGGATTTGGTATGAGTAGTGAATACGGTAAGGTCGTCACATGATACAAGCACAAATGTCCATGTTGATTTACCTGCTGTAAGTCCATCTCCATATTTTCCAATTCTTCTATAGCTGTGTCAATTGATTGCAAATTGGTAGTTTTTCCCCGTGAGTCAAACATCTGAGTAATAACAAAAATTAAAATATAAATAATTGATATATATATATGAAGTATTGCCTAAAGGTGGAGAAAATAATCTAAGCCAATATTATAAAGTGTGTTTTTGTCAATTTCTATCACCATCGCATGTTTTTGTAAATCCGGCAAACTGATATAAAAGGACTAAATGGATGTTTGGGCTTTAACCCTTTGATTGCCAAAGTCAACTTCAGGCACCATCTACAAAATAGTTTCATTTTAGTCTTTTTCACATAAAATCTTACAAAAATTTCCAATTTTTTATTTGGTCCAAAATTGAAATTAAATTCACCAAAAATTTATCTAAATTTGAGTTAATTCTTGGTTTCTGCTTGTTTTACAAGGTAAGTACGGTATGAACAAATTATTCAGCAAAACTTGTCAATTTCTCACTCTGTAATCTTGGTAAATGATCCATAGGGGATTAGCCCTGCGTACAGTGCTGTGTGTAAGGGGACGCGTTTGATTGATAGATGTCCCCACCACAGCCCTGCGTACCTCCATAGACAAAGTCCGGGATTTTGAAAAATATAACTTTTTTAATGAAATAACATGCCCAGGTACCAAAAATGATGATCGATTACCAGATATATCTAGAACTCCCAGTTCGGAGTCCAGTTGTGGATGAAATCGGCTACTTTGCCCTAAAAACAAACGCATTCTCTCGCGTGAATGAGATTAAAAATGGCGGCGT